CCCAACCTGCTATATATCTGATATGCTGAATTTGTGTTCTTTAAAATCAAATTAGGAATTCTAAGGAACAATAATGGTTAAGAGTAGGAAATTACATTGAGAAAGAGACAGTTCCTGAGAGACAGGAGAGCATCCCCCATGGGTTGTGGTGAACCCCACTTCAGAGAGGAAGTTTTATAGAACAAAATGATGAGGTGGCAGAGGGTCCCTCCCATTCCCAAAACTAAAGGCCTCTTTAAAAAATCATGAGGTGGGCATGATGTGGGCTAAAGCTATGATCAATCAAAAAAAAATTACAAGTACAGCTGCTTAGGTAATATAGATCCAAATGGGAAAACAGGTCACATAGGAAGTGTACTTGGAAAGAACAAGCACCTTTTCAGGAAGGGATGGCTCCAGGGGTCTTGGTCACCCACTGAAGTAACTGACATCTGTTTGGACTTTACTAGACCAGGTGTCACCACTTATCCCTTGGAGAGGTATGTAGATCTGGTCATTCTGTCTTTATCTTGAGGCCTGTAAGTAGACAACCAGCAGTGCTGGTAGCAGAGAAGACAGAAAAAAATGTGGATCTAGCAGAGCAGAGAGGCAGAGAATGACACAGACAGAAAGAGAAGGGAGGTTGAAGGTGGGTAGAAGAGTAGAATAAGATGGATGTAGACACTGTAAGGCTTGTTCCACATGGCATCTCAGGTTACAAAGCTTTAGCATGTCTTACTGCATAGCCAGGCCAGTATCAGAGGAATATGCTTTACCTGTTTTCATTGTCATTTGAAAAACTCACGAACTTTTCAGGAATTAAAGCAATCAGTCATTTTTCAACCTCATATTATAAAAGCAGTGGCTGCAGCAGTCCTCAGGCAAAATATCACCTCACTTTTCTGCCCCAAATGGACCAGAACTTACTGGCTGAGGAAGTAATTGTGTAAAATATGATTACTTGTGTAAGAATTAACATAGTTTCTTCAAAGTAAAAGCAATACAACAAAAAAACTGGAAACCACAAACACGAAAACAAAATCCTGTAACTCCACAACCTATCAACTAACAGTATTTGGCAGAAATTAACTCCTAACATTTTTTTTTCATATAAATGAGTAAAATGAGGGCCAGCAAGATAGCTCAGTGGGCTAAGCGTCTGCTTGGGCAAGCACAGGGACCATGGTTCGATCCCTGTTCCTGCATGCCATGCCAGCCCCGCCCCTGGGGTACAAGGAGCCAGTGAGAGAATCCAGGTGACATGGTTCATGCCTATAATCCCAGCACTGGGGAGGCAGAGAACAGGAGGATCACCACAAGTCTGATCTGTGTAGTGAGACCCTGTACCAAAATTACAAATGAAAAAAAAAAACTATGTAAATGAGTAAAGTGCTTTATGTTATGAAACAGGTATTACACACACACAGTAGAAATTTCAAAAACAAAAGGGTAATTTTTAAAATGTAGCAGGTGTCCTTCCCACAAACACTTTGGAGTCCTGTAATGTGCCCCCACTGTGATGATTATTTTCTTCCACTAACAAGGAAATATGTGTGCATATATTCTTCTGTCAACACATTCAATTGTTGTAACATAGTAGCTACTGTGTATATTCTTACGCACTTTACTCCTTTCATTTCACAACATTCCTTGGAGATAAGTTCACATAGTGTCTTTAAAAGTTAGTATTATAATGTATTCATGCATTGACAAACACTCCTCATAATCATCATCCTTAATGCTTGTAAGATATTTCAGCAAATGATACATTCATTTCTTTAATAAATGTGTACAAAGCACCTGCTACATCTGCAGAGCACTAAGATAAAAAATATGGAACCATGGCAGAGTGGGAGAGAGTCAGCTACACAAGGAGTTACGGACAGTCTCTAAGTGCCACAGGAGGAGCACAGGTGATGTCAAGGGAGGAAAGGAAGGCGTGTTCAAACTAGTGAACGAAAATGCTGAAGGATAGGTAAGAAGAGTCAGTTCATAGACAAAGCAAGAAGAGCACCCCAGCAGGCAGGGGCCAGGAACAGTATGTGCAAGGACACAGTAATAGGAATGAGAACTGTGGTCTTTAACGTATGGCCACATCTTTGATATCAATAATGCCATGATGTTCAACTTGAAACCCATCTTTTTCTGCATTTTGTAGTATTTCCTTGGCTACAATCCCAGAAATGGGAATGCTAAATCACAATGTAGGAGCACTGTGACCTGCTACACACAACCAAATATCTTCCAAATAGATGAAGCCATTTCACAAGGACACCGGCAATGTCTGAGTAACATCAATGCTCATTATCTTCACTCCTTTATTGTTACCTTAACATTAGTAAGTAAATTTCTCCATATATTTGTTACTATTTTGATTTCTTATGTAGATTGTTTTCTATTTACACACAATAATTGAAATTCTGTATTTACTTTTTTTTTTTTTGTATTTAGTACAGGGTCTACAGGGTCTCACTATGTCGATCCGAATCGTAGTGATTCTCCTGTTTCAGCCTCTCAAGTGCTGGCATTACAGGCATGTGCCCCACCATGCCCAGTCTCAATTGCTGTCTCAGCATGCCCTGGGGGTGGGCTGGGGATTGAACCCGGCCACTGCACTCTACCTAAGCAGGCACTTTAATCCACTGAGCTATCTGGCCAGCCCTGAAATTCTGTATTTTCTTTAGCTGTTATTAATCCTACTCATACTACAGATATTCAGGCTTTTATTTTTCATACTTGTTGCCAATATACTTTTCTAGTTATCTTACATGAAAAAAAATTGACACAGGTTTTAAAGATATACCCAGTCATGGTCATTGATTATTTCTTTCTATTGCTTCTAAGTTGAAAATTACTTCTGTTGAGAAGTTCAACAGATATTCTGTTTTCTTGTTTGAATTTAAAATATATATTTAATTCATTAATCTGTCTAGAATTTTGTGTATGACCCCTCCCAATTTGCCAGTGAATTATACAAGCTTTCCCTTCTCTATTGATTTTTCCTTTTGATACTTTTTTTTTTCTCTCAGTTTTACATTCACAGTGTAATGGATGGGAAGACTCATACATTCTGGAATAGGCAGAACTGTGGAGACAGGAGAACCCCTGTTGCCAGGGGCTGTAGGAAGGGAGGAGTGCCAGATAGAGCAGGCAGATTTTCAGGACAGTGGAAACACTTTGTACACTACTTCCATGGTGGATACCAGCCTTACATACCTATGTAACCCCGTGGCATGTACAAGCTCCAAGAGTGTGCCCTAATATAAACATGAATTTTGGGCGATAATGATGGAGCAATCAATGGAGGTTCATCAACCATAGCAAATGTGCTACTCTGGTGGCGGATGTCCAACAAAGACTATACTTGTGTGCAGCCTGGGCATATGGGATGTATCTACTGATTTTTCTTTTTTTTATTTTATGGAAAAGGAAGTAAAGCAAAATTTCCTAACAGGAAAGGAGAATAACCATAGTTAATATATTGAGTATTGGTAATATATTGAGTATTGGTATCTTTAAAGCAGTTACTCAGTTTATAAGATTTGGGTACAAAAAAAGTTCTCTAAATGGTATTAGCATGAACTGATTTTTCTTTCAAAGATGAATCACATTTAGAGATCAACTAATTCCTCAACTGGAACCAGTTTCTAGTTCTCTTCCTGAACGTGTCTCCTCAGTTTAAAAGACCTTTCCTCTGACTTAGCCAGTATTCCTGCATCAATTTCTCTGTCTATGTATAGAAAGAACTACAACCTAGCACAAATAGGCTTAGGTAAAGCTTGTCAGGCTTTGCCCTTGATGGGGGAAATCTGCTACTGAAAGCAGACCTTGTTTTTTAAGCCTCAGAGAGGTGGTTGTAGCTAGTTTCTGGTGTTAGCCAGCGCCATCTTCTCTATGTGTGGGCTCACGTGGCTGCTTTCCTTTGGGAGTATGCTTGCCATTCCTCAATATAGCCTCAATTCCTCTGAAGGCCAGGTCCAGCTATCTCATATTGACTGCAGGAAAAAATAACTTCTTGCTTCACCAAAACTTGACTGACTTCATCAGCTAGCCAGCTTTTGAGAAAAGGGAGAAGCCCTTATCCAGGGTAACCGCGCGTGGTGATTCCCACTTACATACAACTGGGAAGCTCACTAAACAGGAAGATTTTGGAACCCAGTACACAATCGCCCCGATGCCGGAAAAAATTCCGGATTTCATGTTTTTCAAGATATTTAAAGTCCTAAGAAAATTCCCTTAAGTTTTCCTTCCTCTACAAGGCACTGGCATCTGCTTGGGCGACAAATGGGCACAACGGCTGTGGTGGGGCCCACAGCCACGGCCAGCCTTCCCCAGAGGTCGGGAGCCCACAGGGGCCGAGGGCACTCCGGGGAGAGTGGGGTGGGCGGGAAAGCCGACGGAGAGCCCGCGGAGTGGACAGGCGTTCGTCCAAATGGTACTCCTGGGCCACTGGTCCTCCCCTACCCACCGCGAGAACCAAACTCCCTCCTCCGCGGGCGCAAGCTGCGCCACCGCAGTGCCCTGGAGACCCCGCCCCCGCGCCTCCCGGCCCGCGTCCTCTGGCTGCCCAGCCCTGCGCTAGTCCCCTAGTCGGTACCGCTGCCGCCCACACGCTCCCGGACGCCCTTTCTCTGCCCTGTGCCTGGTGTTGAACAGAGGAACGACAGGTGAGCAAGGAGAACAGAAAGATGCGGAGCACAGTGCTCGCCCGGCCTAGCCCTGACGGTGGGCGGAGCTGCGGCCTGGGGGGCGGGGCGAGCAGCGGGTGGGCGGGGCCGCGGGCTTGGGGGCGGGCCCTCTGGTGGGAGGGGCGAGCGGCGGTGAAGGCCAAAGGCGTCCTATCCTGCCGCTCAGCTGCGCGACTGTCTGATTCCCGGACCCTGCGGACGCCACTCGCTCTGCGCAAGGCTCGGCTCGGCCCAGCTCGGCTCGGTCCGGCTCGGCTCGGTCCGGCCCGGCCCGGCCCGGCCCGGCCCGGCTCGGCTCGGCTCGGTTCGGCTCGACTCGGCTCGGCTCGGCTCGCGCCCCGGCGGCCTGGGCGCTCGAGGGCTGGAGCTGCGGGCGGCGCTAGCCGGTCGGATCCGAGCCTCGCCGGGCTGCTCCAGCCGGGCTCGGCTACACACTCTGGCCGCCGGGGCCGGAGCCCTCATGAGCCCGGACGATGTCCGGGAAGCACTACAAAGGTCCTGAAGTCAGTTGCTGCATTAAATACTTCATTTTTGGCTTCAATGTCATATTCTGGGTGAGTGAGCCCACAGCTTTCGCAGCTCCAGGGCGCCGCGGTCTTTCTAGGGAGCCAGCGGGAGCCGGCCAGGCCGGAGCTCAGGCGGCGAGAGGCGCAGGGCAGCCGCGGGGCTGGAGGCCGGGATGGGGCGGCCCGGGCACCGCCGGCTTCGTGCTAGTCCGGCACGCACGGACCCTGCGCCCTGCCCGGGACGCGCGGCTGCTCGCTGGATTCCCGGTGGGCGTGTGGGTGCGTGTGGGGTGCAGCGGTCCTTTCTGTCTGCGATTAATAACAAGTCGCGGGCAGTACAGGTTTCAGCGCGCTCGCGCCTCCGCCTCCTCCAGAGGAGTGACACAGCGGCTGGTTTTGTAAACCCTCGGGGAAACGCAGAGGGGAAGGTGCGTGAGGGAGCTCGCCGGCAGCCGGGACCCGGGCTGGGTCACAGGGCGGTGCTCTGCCCGGCCCCTCAGGGTCTGCTCGGCCACTAAGGTAATTCGGCTGGGACCCTGCTCTTTTGTTTTGATTCTTCGCGGGGATCTCACAGACGTTCAGCATCCAGACAAAGAGTTCTGAGCTAGGCGACAGGAATCGGCGGTTTGGGAGACAGGGATGTTTTCCTCCTCCGGCTTGTCCTGGCTCGCCCTCCCCCGCGCTGGGCACCCCTTCCTGGGAGGAAAGATGGAGGCGTCGGCTAGGGGTCTCCAAGTTGCGACTCGAGGTGGGGTAAACAATGATCCTATGGGGACTCGGCACAATGCACAGCGGTCTGAACACAGTGCATCTCTATTTGGTCTCCTTTGATTTTGGCTGTTTGCCATCTATTTGTGAGAACTGTTGTCATTTTTTCTACACTTTTACCGGGTTCTTTTCTCTTTTTTATAGGAGTGTTTTGTGTTGGTCAGGTGTGTCGTACGAAAGGAAATGGAAGGGATTGTTTTGGTTCAGCATATCTTCGGTCCTGGGGACTGATAAAGATTTGTGAGGTGGGCATTTGAATAGAGACCGTACCCAGCCGTTCACAGGCAGCGCTTTGGTGTGTGTGCTTGTTTGGATGTGAGTGTGTATGACTTGGGGAGAAGACACTCCACCCTTGGGTCCTCCTCACAGAAAAGTACAGCCTGAAGAAATTACTTTCTTTGCTTCCTTCCCTACCCTTTCTGGAAATGTTTAAAAGCAGTAGGTAGTCCTATTTCAGAGTGAGGTGTTCTGATTTTATTAGCGCTCGGTGACTTTGAGAGGTGAGGACTGCTGAATTGGGACTGGCCTTCGATGGGGGAGTGAATCTAGGCTTTTGGTTTCTGCTTCAACATTTCCAAAAGTTGCGCCACTAGGCTACAGGGCACCGAAAAAGCACCCAGGAGCTTTCTCTGCATTTTCATAGCAGGAAATGAAAGGATTTGGGCCTGCTTCCCTCATGGTTTGGTGTAATATTGTGAGAACGCAGAGGTAATTTAGCCTTATGGAAACCTTGAAGGAACTACAGACTACTCATAAGGAGTTTGGGAACAGAGGCGCATCTAGACTGATTTTGAAAAAATCTTTTTTTAGGGGAGGAGCAGTTTTGTTTGGAAATAGACTAAGGTTGAGGAACTGAAACAGCAGCCCCAGGCACAATTATTAAGGGGGTGCTGCTTGTGCTGGCCCTTCCTTACCTCACTTTATTTAGTGTATTTAATACAGGGGCTTACAGGGTCTCACTACACAGATCGAACTCATAGCTATTCATTTGTTTTCAGCCTCCCAAGTGCAGGAATTGCAGGTGTGCACCACCATGCCCAATCATCTTGGAGTACCCCAAGGGCGGGGCCAGCATGGCACCCCGGGACCCTGCATTTGCCCAAACACGCGCTTTAATCCACTAAGCTATCTTGCCGATGCCTTTTTTCTTAGTTTATACACACCCTTCTTCCTTCCTGTGCCCAGAGTTTTTTTGTGTGTACCACTACATACCTTTCCTATCCTGCTCTCTGTTCTGAATTTACCCATATTTAAATTTCAAGGTTTATCAGGGCCATGGTGGCTAGTGATGGTTAGCAAGAATATAACCCATTTTATTTGATTGAAGCAATTCAGACCAACATGTTTGTGACTGAAGAAGAGGAGTTAGCAACTTGGCAACCTGCTTCGAAAAGTTTCTTTTTGTCTCTAAAGTCACCACACTACCTATGATTGCTAGAGAAGGCTTCCTAATCCTTCAGTTTTACACTGATGACAAGAGTGTATCTGAAATTCCTAAAGAAATCTAGAAGTATAGCTCTGGAAGAATAAAATTGAACATTCATTGGTGCCAGTGCTGACAGTCTGGCTCTTACTGGATCCTTACAACCCCAAGAGTTAGTGGTACAACCAAAACTTTATAATTGTAGCTCACAAGTCTGTGATTTGGCCAGGGTCATCTGAGCAAGTCTTATTTGAGGTCTTTGATGCAATTCTTTGTTAGTTAACTGCCCTGTGCCTCAGTTTCTCATTACAGTCAAGAATTGGTGGAGCTGTAAAGTTCTTCCTGCCTCTGACAAAGACTGTGTTGAATTCTAGTATGCTGGGAAAAAAATACAAGAGTTGGGTACTTATATATACTGGAAATAGTGTATATTACTCTGGGGCATTACTAAAATACAGACTTTAGTTCTTAGTGAGTTGACTAAAGACCAAGTTTAATACTTTATTTCTAAATTATGGAAAAAAAGTACTTTCATTTCTTCCTCAAAGATCTTTTTATTAAAAAAAACCTTTCACTAACTTCTTAGTTTGTTTAGTTATTGGTATAATATGCTTGCTTCTTTTTCTACACTGTGAATCTCAAATGTAGGCCCGTGAATCATGACATATATATTTATTATTAGAATTACAGTTTCATGTGTAAAATCTGAGCCCTTTTATATAACAGTTGTACTGATATTCTGAGTAGCAAAGTCAACAGATTCCTTTCACATTAATTATCACAGGATGGTGGGGGAAAACTTTTATTTTCTCTATTACATTTTGGAAAAACTCAAGACAGAGGAAATTGATTCAAATGGTGTTATGCAATTATATTTTTCAGAAAACCTAATGTTGCTTTGGGGTGGAAGAAGGAAAAGTTACTAAATTCTTATATTCCATTAACCATCATCAATAGATGTTTTAGAGCCTGGCTTTGATACTGAACTGTTTCAGTAGGTTGGTAGTAAATTAATATCAATAGTCTGGTTATTTGTTGCTGCATAACACCCTTGGCCAAGCTCATCAGGGTGACTTCTTGGTGCAGTTTGAAGGAGAAATGGTTGAGGCTGGAGTTACCTGAATGTTCTTGGGGTGGGTTGTCTGAAATGCTGCTCTATCAGGACTGGTGGATGATGCTCATGCCAGGCTTAGACATAGTGGCTGGCTAGAACACCTTTGTATGGTTTCTTCCTGTCTCAGAGACTGGAAAATGTAGCTACTGGCCAATTAGCTCAGTGTCACTGTCATTTGATTCATTGGTTAAAATGTGCATAGACATTCTCAGCTTCAAGGAACTGGAGAAATGGATTCTCTTGATGGGCAGGTGTCAAGGTGAAATTCTAGAGATCAGGTTGGAAAATACAATATTTCTCTATCCCTTAATTTCTCATTCATAAAGGAAGGTAACATTGTCTAACAGTTACACTTTGAAGGATTTATGAAAATAAATGCTACTCAGCATAGTGTTTCAATATTTGCCAAATTGTGAGTAATCATTGTCTCTAGATACCATACTAGTTCCTTCTTGGGCTACAGAATTTCCAGAATGCTGTAGTCTGGTACCTTAGCATCATTACAGTTAGGTGATAATAATACCTCCAGAGAAGGTGAGAGAAATGGATGCATCAGATTTCATTGTGACTTACTAGAAAAAAGTTCTCATAATTCAGTGGAAGTTTGAAGGAGTTGGGGGAGAATAAAGGCATTTTTCTGATCTCTCCTATACCAGAAATATCAACAGTCTTGAAAACCTGAGGCCAAATTTCCTTTTTGTTGTATATTCAAATATTACATTGTTATAGGATTATCCAGAGTTTATGGCACAACGTTGTATCTGATTTGCTTCTACAGGGCTTAAATTCAGAGAGGAGGGAGATTTAGGGCATGGGGGGGGCATCGAGTAGCAAGCCTTATCTTATGATTCACTATAAATTGCAAGATGTTCTGGAATGATGATATATCAGCAGTTTATAAGTCATAATTTTTGTTTTAATTTCCTAGACATCTGTTAGCTTCAGTGGCAACCATATGGAAGTCTAAATTGCCTTTTGAATTACAGTGAGGTGGTAGGAAGAAAGCTAAATATGGTTATGGAAGTGTTGTGTGGGAAAAGTGTAAGAAAGGTAAATAGACCTCAGTGAGGAAGGTAACAACATTGACTTGCTCCTCCTGACCACTCCTTTGTGGGGCTATGAGAAGGTGCCAGAGCATTCACCCTTCATGGTTTCTTGATGAGGGAAATGATGTCAAAGGGAAATGTTGAAGAACCAAATAATATTCTCCTCCACCCATGGAATTGGACAGGTACAGTCATTTAAATGGGCCATTTTGTCCTAAAGTCTGCAGTAATAGGTAGTCCCTGGCAAGAGGTGAAAGCAATGTGTTATTTCTGTTTTCATCCTTTTTTTTTTGTTTTGAGAAGGGGTCTTGCCATATTACTCAGGCTGATCACAAATCTTGGGTTCAAGCAGTTCTCCTCTCTTAGCCTCCCAAGTAGATGGGATAACAAACAAGTATGTGCAATATGGATTTTTAAAAAAATTATTTATTTATTTATTTTTATTTTTTTTTGTGTGTGTGGCCAGCTCAGCCCACCAGGGGGCGGGGCTGGCTGGCATGTGGTGCTGGGGGATTGAGCCGTGGTCCCTGTGCTTCGCTAAGCTTGTTCTAAGTAGGTGCTTTAGACCACTGAGCCATCTCACCAGCCCTGCAATATGGATCTTAAACAGAGCTTTACCATTGTCTTTTTTCTAAGCATCTCAAAGTGTCTTGTGGCATATTATAACTCTGACTGATAAAGGAACTGGAGCATAGAG